GATTATCTAAGTAATTAACCTAATTATTGGGTAATGATTAAATTTCAATTAACTTTTTTTGCTTAAGTTATAAAATAAGTAGAGACATGAGAACAAGAGATTTAGTCATCCACCTTTCAAGCATTTAATGAGTGCTCGAGTCTTTCTTAGTTTATAAAACTTATTTTGAATTTCATTTTTAAGAGCATACTTAAAGAAAAAGACTGACATTTTCAGCCTGAGTCATCTTCCAATACTGATATTTCTTAATCAGAGTTGTGCAAGATGATATCATTCAATTAATTTGCTTTCACTTTGGCCTTATAATAGAGATTTTAGAAATTACATACTATATTTTTTAAAAATTATCAAGAAATCCCATAACATATTTCATGCTTTTAATTTTGTATTAGCAATCAAGCATCTTTTTCAAAATCTAAGAGAGAGAAAGAGAAGAGGAGTGATTCTTCTATCCAAATAATATAATTATTCCATGAAAAATAAGATATACATTATGCATGAATGAATCTTCTCCACCATAGAGTTTTGAGGTTACTCCTTTCATAAAAAATATAATGTTACAATATAGCATTATTAACAAGTTAATATGTTTACAACCGCTCTACATACACTAGACTAGGTTCAAGAAATTAAGATATTTAAAGTATATGTTGTAAGGCTGTTGATTCTAATTCAACTTTGAATCCTCAAAATGAGGAAAAAATATTACATCAGGTGTCCTCATACAAAACTGCATCAAACCTCCAATCACAATGCGTCACGTGTACGGTCTGACCGGGTCATGTATTGAACTATTTAGTTTTTGGTATTCAGTGGGGCCAGATTGTACACGTGACACATTGTGATTAAAGTCCTCATACAGTTTTGGATCAGGACTCTTGATGAAATAGTTTTTTCCCAAATGGGGCCAATATTCAAAATTAATAATATTTGCCACATTGTAATGATGTTTTATCTTGAAGACTTTATGATAAGTTTTCACAAAAAAATTGAAGTTCAATTTTGATTCAATAAATAAATGTAAGATATAAATTAAAAATTAATAATATTTTTTTTTTAATGTGCCAAACCATAATAATTAATTGCATCAAGAAAAACTATATTTTGTGTTCTAAAGTGTTCTTAATTTTTATTTATTTATTTAATCGCTTTTACAGCTTATTTTACTTCATAAAATAGAAGTTTTTGGGGGCATTTACAGTAATACCACCCACTTCCTAAGTATTTACTAGTTAGCACCTAGACTTTTTTTTTTCTATGTTTATACCACCCAAATCTTTCACATAACCTAAGAAATACCACCATTTTAACTTTTAAAAAGTGAAATATACATTTTATTGCATAATTAAAGTAACAGTATGTAAACTGAAGTTTAGGTATTAAATATGTAAATACACAAGAATTGAATGGCATATGTGTAAATCTTCCTTTTGTTAATGGATCATATGAGAGTTTCCCACTTTTCAAATGAGCGGATTTAGCTAAACTTTGTTTCATGTTATAGCTTTGGCAGAACTTGGAGCAATAGGTATAGTGAAAATGAAACGGTTTTATTTACTTATAAAATAAAATTCTGCCATAGTTATTTATAGAAGATAATTTATTTAATGGCTCTTGCAGACTAAAAAAAATAAAAATTTAGGGTTTTTTGTGGAAAAAATATTGCATTAGGACTCCGCACGTAGAGTTTCATGCGGAGTCCAATGAAATCACGCCACTTTGAGGTATAGAAAAGAAAAACCGGTAACACGGGGAAATATTCCCCCCGTGTTATTTCGTGTTATTCATGTGTTATTGTATGTTATTCATGTGTTATTGTGTTTTGGAAATATTTCTGGTGTTATAATAGCACAATAACACTTGAAAAATACACAATAATATTTGAATAACACACAATAATACCTGAATAACACGAGAGGAATATTTCATTGTGTCACGAGACATATTTTATTTTTTTTCTGATTTCATTGGACTCTGCACGTAACTCTATGTGCGGAGTCCTGATGCACTCTTTTTTGTGACACTTTTTTGACTGTTTTGTTTTTTAGGCCTCACCACATTTCTATCCGGGAACTGATTCACTATTGTTCTTTTAGATATTTCTCAGAGTAAACAATTTTTTTCTTTCAATATGGGTTATTAAAGTGCGGTGGTTATCAAAAAGTTATGATATAATATTTTCAAAATAAAAAAAGTTTTAATAGCCACCAATACTTTTTAAAAATAATTTATTTTGCAGCTGTTTCACAGCTGCTTCTTCAAAAATCTGCAGTTGTCCCAGACCTTTAAACAATTATAAATTTATTCAGTGGCTCATATGAGATTTGACCCCTTTCAAATAACAATATCTTAAAAAATGTGTGAAATTGGTGTGAATATATTTTAAAAAATATATGAATTATTTGACTATATGAAAATCAAATTATTTTAATTATTTTGTATGTTTTTTATATATTTCAAATACACTAGATTATGACGGTAGTTGCGGGCGACTGGTGGTAGTAAAGGGAAGCCCTCTGTGTTCATGCCTCCATATGAGTCATCTTAGACAAATTTTATTGTTTATTATTATGATCAATATTTTTTTGTCTATGAATAGATGATAAATAATTACTCATAAATCACATATTGATTCTCTCTCTTCCACCCTCAAAATTGTGTTTCCCTTCTTAATTGGACTCACCTTTCTTTGTTGAAAGGTGTTAGATTGGGTTATTTGCACATTAACTATTTATATTATGCATGTGTTATCTTATTTCTCCTCATAAATCAAGCTTGATTGATTTATTTAATCGGACTTGAATTATTTATCACGACCATATTTAGATTAAAATCTCAAAATATCCCTCTATCCCTTTCTATCAAAACATGATTTTTCATACCCTTTCCCCAAATTCTTAAACTAAACATGATAACACATTCCTACTCTTATTCTTCTTCATTTATTTCTCTGATATACACATAGCTAAGACCCTTAATAACTATATCTTTAATCTTCTACCTTTTAGATCAATAAGTTTTTTTTCTACACATTTTTTGGCATTATCTCGTGAGCAGTTAGTTTTATGAAAAATGAAATGTTGAATATTGAGAATATAACGTAAAATAAATATAAAATATTGAAATTTTTTTTAGTTGCTCAGTTGAGTATACCACAAACAAACACATAGCTAAGACCCTTAATAACTATATATTTAATCTTCTACCTTTTAGATCAATAAGGTTTTTTTCTACACATTTTTTGTCATTATCTCGTGAGCTGTTAGTTTTATGAAAGATGAAATGTTGAATATTGAGAATATAACGTAAACTAAATGTAAAATATTGAAAATTTTTTTAGTTGCTCAGTTGAGTATACCACAAACAATAGAGATTATTTTTTGGAATTGGTTTGAAGTAAATTTTGTTTTGTATAAAATTTAACTGTGATAATGATAGGGTGGCCAATCAACTATAGAGTCAGTGGTTAGCGATTGGCTATGTTGGAGGGCAATAGTTTTTTGCTAGCGATAGTAGCCAATTACATAGGGCAATGACTAGGGGCAAGTGGTGACCAATGGTTAAGAACAACATCGAGCAACATTGACAAGTGGCGGCGGGTTGCAGCTAAAGGTGGCTAACAATGTTTCACCTAAAAGTTATATGCATAATTGGCTCAAAATTGATGAATTTTAAATACAATGAATTAAAATTGCATATGTAATTCCAAATGCACTGCAAATTACTCTGTATGCGTTCTTTCAACCAAATATCATTAATTTTAAAATCATGTTTTTGGTTACTTCAAATTAATATTACTCACAATAAGATGATCTCTTAATATCACATGTTATGATTGTGGGGCATAATTTTCTTAAAGAATTAGTCCAATCTTAAAAGATAAGTACAATTCATTTGTTCCAAAAGCACTAAATCTAAGAAAAAATAAATCTTCTACAATTGAGTTGAATGTCTTGTACTTCTTCTTGTTGTTTTTGCTTGCTTTATCGTCATTAGCTTATTGTACTTTGATGGTTGTAGAGCGCTCATTGTTGACCTTGAGGCCTCTTACAAATAGGGTTAAAGACTACTCTTGAAATTTTCATCAGTGAATGCATAGTGCAAAGCTCTAGGCTTCATGTCCTACAATTATGTCATTTGTTGACTCATTTGAAGAAATGAGGAGCGGCCGAATAGGAATGATAATATCTACTTTATTTTTGTAAAATAAAGAACATATGAGTTGTACTTGCTTGGTGAAGCTCATCGAATGTTGAGAATCGCTTCGTTATTTTGTCCGGCTGCGTGACTTATGTCTTGGCCAGGATTGCTGTGAGGTCTTCACCTCATCAAAACATTGATAGCTTTAAAGCATATAACCCACGTTAATGATGCTACCGCAAATCTTCCGACCAAGAAGGTCGTGGGAGCAATTTCCTCTTTAAGAGGAAAATATCCTATTTCCAGAGAGAAGTTTGAGAGTAAATGATCAACTAGGATTAGTCAAGTGACCATACGAGCCAAAGAGTCGAGCCATGCCATGACACCAAGCTTAGGCTTAATGTTAATTAACAATAGAATAACAGGATGAGTTTATTGCTTAATAAGTTTGATGAGCTCGTTAACAAGTCAAATTGAGTCAATTTCTCAACCAAAATGGCTTTCTTATTTCTCAAATTCAAGAAAAAAAAAATATTACATATGGAATCCGAATGTAAAATCTACAAGTTGTAAAAAATAGAACCAGTACAATATAATACTCATGTTTATGTTCAATTTCAGAATAACAGAACTGAATTCTTATTTCTCAAATTCAAGAAAAAAAATATTACATACAAAATTCGAATGTAAAATGTACAAGTTGTAAGAAATAGAACCAGTACAATATAATACCCATGTTTATGTTCAATTTCAGAATAACAGAACTGAAAAGCAGAATCAAGCGGTCCAGATCAAGCAAGCTTTCTACGAAGCTGATTTAGGGCAACCCCTCCCCCACTATATAAATATCGGCTAAACCTAGCCGCCTCGCTTTTCTCCCTCCTCTCAACTCCGCCTATCCTTCTTCCTCGTCTTAGCCGCCATGGGTAGAGTGATCCGAGCTCAAAGGAAGGGTGCGGGTTCAGTTTTCCGATCGCATACCCACCATCGCAAAGGCCCGGCTCGTTTCCGCAGCCTCGACTTCAGCGAGCGTAATGGATATCTTAAGGGCGTGGTCACCGACATCATCCACGACCCTGGACGCGGTGCGCCGCTTGCCCGCGTAACCTTCCGCCATCCATTCCGTTACAAGCACCAGAAGGAGCTCTTTGTCGCGGCTGAGGGCATGTACACGGGGCAATTCGTGTACTGCGGTCGCAAAGCGTCTCTCATGGTCGGTAATGTTCTTCCTCTTCGCTCCATCCCTGAGGGCGCTGTCGTATGCAACGTCGAGCACCATGTTGGAGATCGTGGAATGCTCGCGAGGGCGTCTGGGGACTACGCTATTGTAATCAGCCATAACCCCGATAATGGCACCAGTAGGTATGATATGACCTAACTTATTTTTTTTTATTTCTCTTAGATCTGCATTCATTAGTTGTTATTGTTTTTGTGCAGTATATAACGTTTGATATTTTACTATGGTATTGTTCTCGGACTTAAGTTTGAAATTTTTTTTTCTTGTGTTTTGTTATTTAATAACAATATCTTGTTCCCTATGGAAAATAAGAGAGGGTTAATTTTCATATGGTTAAATTATATGCTTGAGAAAATTGTTCCTAAACAATTCTCGCAGATTTTCAGCATTCAAAATTCTGTTCGATTTCCGGTTGTCGAACCTATACATAATGATCTAACTTTGTTGTTCAGATGTTGAGTGGAGTTTTCTAGTCTTGTCAGTTTAATGTAAGGTTGCAATTTCCTGTGCAGTTTTTGCTGAGTTCTAATAGTTAGTAGAGAGGAGAAAGACTACTAAGAAGAGGCTTAAATTCAATTCATTAAAAATATATATACTTACATTAGTTAGGAGAGAGGAGAAAGACTACCATCCTCTCCTCTTAGAAAAATCTTACATTAGAGATATTCTTTGGAGAGTTCTAGAGAAAAAAGGTGTTGATATGACTTAAATTCAAGTCATTAAAAATATATATACTAGAGCTATTACTTGTTTTTAAACAGAAGGAGGATTGACTAAATATTTTTCTATTTCAGTTGGATTACATCAAAGATCAACTTTAAGATCAACTTTAAGCCCATTAGTTATGGATGCTCTTACTAGACATTTACAGGAGGATGTTCCTTGGTGTATGTTTTTGCTGATGATATCCTTCTTGTGGATCTGATGATATCCTTCTTTCCTTCTTGTGGATAAGACTAAAGAAAGGACCCAGGAAAAATTTGAATTATGGAGGTCTACATTGGAGTCTGAAGGCCTTCATTTGAGTAGAACTAAAACTGAATACATTAATGTAATTTTAGTAGTAATAGCTCTAGTGTCAGAGTTGTAACTATGGGTGATCAAATTATTAAAAGGAGTAGCGTTTTAGATATCTCCGGTCTATTGTTTAAAGTGATGGTGATATAGATAGAGATGTTATTAATAGAATTCAAGTTGGTTGGTTGAAGTGGAGGAATGCTTCGAGCCTATTGTGTGATAGAAAAGTATTACTTAGACTGAAAGAAAAATTTTATAAGATGGTTATGAGACATGCATTGCTCTATGACACAAAATGTTGGTCTTTAAAAGATAAGCATAAAACTAAGTTTAGTGTTACCGAGATGAGAATGCTTAATGCTTAGGTGGATGAGACACTTAGAGACAAAATGCGAAATGAATATATTTGTGATAGGGTTGGTGTAGCTCCAGTGGCGAACAAAATTAGAGAGTTGTCTTAGATGGTTTGGTCGCATTAAAAGTCGAACATCTAATGATCTGGTTAGTAGAATAGTGTTTTTTCCTTAACTTATGTTAAGAAAGGCAGATGTAGACCTAGAATGACTTGTGCATATTGTATAAAAATGATCTTAATTTATTAGACTTAAATGAAAATATGACACTTAATAGGACACAATGTAATAGGACACAATGGGAGAAAAAGGATTCATGTAGCCGACCCCATTTAGTGGGATAAAGGTTTGTTATTGTTGTTGATGTATGCCTTTTAAGCAGTATTCGCTTTATTCAAGTGATAATTGGGGAGAGGAAGGATGGTGTAGTTTATTGTTGGATCTAAATAGTGGGAAAATATACTTTATGAACTTCAGACCTCTTTCACATTAGGAGTTCCTTAAAGCATGACATGAAGCAATTACAACTTAAAATCACGTGTTTTATTTACTGTACTATCTTCTAGAATTTGTTTTAAAAAAGCAAACATGTTTATGGTAACATAAAATATTAACGTTTGAACTTTGAAGGAATTAATATAAAATTTTAAAGATTTTTAACCTACAAACATTAAACAAAAGATGAAGACATTTGCATTTGTTTTGATGGCAAAAAGTAATTTTTTAAGGTCTTAGTTGAAATGTGGAGATACTCAGCAACATTATAAAAGTCAAGAAGGTTATTTTTTCTGCCGAGAACCTCACTAATATCACATGCTATTAGTTTAAAGCATTCCTAATTTGAAACTGTTAGAAGATCTTGGCACAATTTTTCTACACATAACTTGACTTGCTATGCAAAAGTGGCAGTTTACCCTTTCTATGTTTTTTAATCTCCACTGTCAATTGAACAATGAGGTTTTTTTGTGCATTTTTGCATTTAAATTTTGTGAAGTTTCTTATAATCCCACCTAGTTTACTTTATCTACATTGATTTTCTGTTGTATAATGGACTTTTTAACTTAATCTTCAATTTGATTGAGAGTTGATTTTGATGAAAAATGTTTGGATTTAAAATGCAAGTGCTTTTTGAATTTCCGTTTGAACTATGAGATTGGTAACTTGGCTCTCTAGTTTGTTTTACTTGCACTTAGGACCCATTTAGCGCAACTTATTTGTGAGTTTGGCATTTTAAAAACGTCGCTTAGGTGTTTGTTTCTTGCATTCGGATGCTTATTCGAAACTTGTGTTTGGTATCGTTTAAAAAACGCGATCGCAGGATCGATTCCGCGGCCCGTATTTTCAATCCCGCCTCGAGGGTTTGTTTCCTCCTGTGCCCTTTTGTCCGTCTCCTCCCTCGCTCAACCGCTGTTACCCTCACCTCTCCCTCGATTGCTCCTATCGACAGATCCCGACTTTCTCCTTTTTTTTAGATCCCTGGATCGGCTTCCCGCACCTTCATTCACGGCGTCTCGTGTCCCGCTGGTATCGTCCTCTATCTTTCCTCCTTTCATCAGCAGAAGCCGGTCATCTGGACCTCTCTAATGCCGTGTTTTCTTTCTCTTGAGCGTAACTATGATATGGAAATAAGGGTTTGGGCCTCAACACGCCCTGGAATTGGCACCGGTAGCTTCAAACAGTTTGTTTTGTTTTTAATGCATTTCAATGGAGATGCCATCCCGTTGAGCTCAATTATCAATGTATTTGTAACAGACTTGTTTTCTCGATTGTTTGTTTGTGAGCTGACTCGGTTTTTTTTTTTTGGTAGGGACATCTCTAATGCAATATTTTTCTATATGCATTTTGCGGGGTTTTTTCGTTGCAATGGTTCTCTCTTTGCGGTTTTTTGATTTTGTGGATTTCTTTGAGTTATTGCTATGACAGTTCTGTTGCAAACAACATTACTGCGCAATGGCAGAATGATCATTTATCCAGAAATAGATGCAAATCAGCTGTTTTCCAACAACACAAACAAAACAACTAACCAACTTATCCGGATCAGCTGCTGATCAACACCTTATCTGGATCAGACAGACTCTTAATCCATTCTTAGTTTATTATAGAGGGTTCTCCTTTTGCACTTATGAGCTCCATGTTTCAATTGGCTTTAGTGTTGTTGCTTTTGTTATAAGACATATTATATTCTCACATCTTTTATGTACGATATATGATTTGATATCAAGTGATGTATAGAGCTAGGAGGATGATATCTTGTGAACTTTTACATTGTCCTAGATGAAAAGGCGTATTGACTAATTCAATATTAAGGGCTATGATTTTAATATTGATTGTTTTAATGCCTTGATAGGATTATTATGATGTAAAATGTTTTATGTGGATAATATTAATTGATTAAGTTAATTATTTTCTTACTTGTGCAATGCCCAATAGGGATTAAGAGAGGATTATTAGTTGATACTAGAATTAACCAAACCAATAGGAAAACTAAAGTTTTTTACTGAAATCAAATAGGACATTACAACCAAAATACGAAAATTTGAAATTGCAACAATTGAAAACACAAACTCAAGCTAGGGGCATATTCAGGGGTGGTGGTGGTGTTCGACAAGAGTTGGAAGGTGGCACAAGGGTGAAAAAAGCTGTTGGCAAAAGGAAAACAGCAACGTCATTGTTTTCCCATGTCGAACAACAAGCAAACAACATGGAGCAATGTGAGAGGCTGTCTGGGGTAATGGCAAGAAGCATAGAGGGCTGAAATGGTGGCAACAACAAAGAGAAAGAGGTGGAACAACAATGAAAATGAAGAGGAAGGGCTAGAACAACAAAGAAGGATGCCGTGAAGTGAAGGACATCGAAAGAGTGCTGTTCGGGATGGCAACAACTAGGAAAAGTGGGAAAACTTTAGGAAGAACAACAAAATATTGTTTTTCGGGGCGGTTAAAATGAAAAGGAATGTGTGGAAGCGAAGCATAAGGGATGCAAAAGAGTTGGGGGAGGATAAATCACCACTCGGGGGTGAGAGATACAGCCAGAGCACCACTCAACCCTCAGATATAACCCTAGAAAGGTGAAACAGATGCTGATGGATGTCCTAATCAAACTCACGTAAAAACTGAGAATTCAAAACACATGAATCACATATATAAGCTCTAAATAACTAGGATTGGATCCCCATGTGGAAAAGATGTGTCAAACTAATGTGGAAGAGCCGGTCGACCCTCCTAGATCTACACAAGTTCAGTACACATGAAAGAATCACTGGGTGGTTCCCACAGCTTCTATACACCCACGTTAGTTTCCTGGCGTTAGGGGAGCTTTGACTACATTCATTGAAGCTTTAGTCTGTCCATTGAATATAACAGAGTTATTTTAACTTTTTGAGGTTAAAGGATCTTCGATTGCTGTCTGAAAAGCACCTCAATCTCACTGTTGACTATACTTTCCCAAAACACCCGAGCAATTTTCCCCACAAGCGAGCAATTATCCATATCAATCCAACCATATGAGGATTGGATCTCACTATAGAAAGGAGGCACCAAACCAATGTGGAAGAGTCAGTCGACCCTCCCAATTTTGGAAAAGAGTTGTGGAATGATTCTCGTGGCTCATTTGGGTCACGTCAGTCTTCTGGGGTTGGGAGAGCTTCGATCTTCTTCATCAAATCTTCTGTTTGCACGTTGAATGTAGCAGAGTTGTTGTAAATTTTCGCAGTTGAAGGATCTTTGACTGCAGCCTGAGAAACACCTGGATCCTATTGTCGACTGCACTATCTCTCAAAACATCTAAGAAGTTTCCGCCATTTGCAAGCATCCATATCGATCGAACCATATGAGGGTGTACTTCTAAACTGAACTGAGCTTTCATGCTAAGTTTGCCCTGCGGAGTCTTGCGAAGGTAGTTCCCAATTGGCTCAGTCCTACCTGACCCAAGAACAAACTGAACTCCCCCTAATGGTGACAACCATGGTGGTGAGGTATTGGTCATGATGTCCTGACGTGCTCACTTTAATGATTGGATTGTATCGGTAATCAACGCCTTTGTTCCGCTTTCCTTTACTATCACCAAAACAAATCTTACTTGCGTCGCTTTACTAGTAATGACACCTATAATCGTGAACTCTGCAGATGGTGTTTGTCATCTTTAGTGAAGGAGTAGGTATTTATGAACCCTTCATGCTGAGTCCGAAGATGAAATTGCCATGGTCTTCTCAACAAAAGGTGACAGACATCCATGAGCAGCACATTGCATCAAATCTGATCTTGCATCTGGTTCCCAATTGAAAACTCCATGATACACTTTCTGTCAATTATGACTATGTTTTTCTTCATCAACTTTGTCAAGAAGTATGGTTAGGAGTGTCTCTGACTCATGAGACTCAACTTATCCGCAATTTGTGTAAATATCACATTCTTGTTGCTCTTATTGATGATGAGACTGCATACCTTTCCTTTCACAACATAACGAGTGTAGAATATGTTGTTCTAAAGCCACTCCTGATCCCTTGTAGCTTCAATCAGTAGGACTGGTTGACCCACAACCATCTCACCCTCATTTGGTGGAAGAAGGTACTCACTCTTTTTTTTAGCTACCTCTTCGTTGCTAACTTTCTCTAATGCATAATGTTCGGTAAAGGGAAAAATTAGGCTCGTCGGACAACTGGAGGCGATGTGCCCAAATCCATGACGTATAAAATATTTTTTGGTTGGGATTGTATTGGGTTTGCTGCTATTCTCAGGCTTATTCTCACTTTGAATGACTCTATTTAGGGGTGTGAAGGATCAAATTTCTAGCCGACTTAGGGCTGGCTTGAAATCGAATCAATTTTTTTAAACCGGATTGTGGATTGATACTACTAAATTTCAATATGATTCGGTGCAGATCGAGCTAATATTCAAGTCGGCTTGAATTGTAAATGAGTTAACTCGATTGTCATTTTTGGCTTGTGAGCCAGATCGATCCGCTCGAACCCACCTTGGCCCGCCCAACCAGCCCAAAAGCAAAAATGCAATTTTTTTTTGAAAAGAGGGGATTTGAACTTTTGCATTGCATTCAAGCAAAAAAATCTCTCACTAATCGAGCTGAGAAGACATTATGCATGTTTTAGGTGTTAAATATGTAAATAGTAGTGTGTGAGTAGGTACTATCACTGCAACTCTTTCTTCATTTTTTCCCAGGTAGTAATCTTGCTTCGTCCTTCTCTATTTATCTCCCTCTTCAGGTTCTCCCGACGCAACGAGACACTTCTTCAGATTGCATTAGTTAGTTTTGCCTTCCGGTCACCTGACACCTCCTTGTATTCTAAGATCATCTCAGCGGTTTGCAACTGCTCTATGAACTCACTTGGATTCATCCTCCCCTCAAAATTCTTTATGTCCACTTTCACTCCCAAACCTCTGTATCCTCCAACAAGCATTTCATCTCTGTATCCTTCAACAAACATTTCATCTCTGTATCCTCCATTAGAAACTTCATCTCTTATCCACTGACAGACACTTGATCTCTGGCACTACATCTCTCGGAGCATCATGGTATGTCTTTTTCTCTACCAGAATCATCCCTATAGAAGGGATTCAAGTATTCCTCCCTCCTTGTTGGATCACACTCACGTTTGACATGACCACTCTTCGGGTCCTTTCCTCAATATCAGCGAGTCGTTATAGCGCTCTCGGTGGGACCAACGGAGTTTCCACCGTATCTCTTCAATGGTAAACTCCTGATCAAGTTCCAACAATTGACTCCTCGACGGCTTGATAAGGTTTTGGCGATGAAAGGAAGTGTGCAGGGGTGATGTAGGGTGGGAAAGAAAATTTTGGGTGGAGATAAAGTTGGGTATGGATGGATGATAGAAACTCTGGGATAGAATTAGGGTTATGCTAACTTTGATACCGAGTAATATTCAAGTTAATCAAACAATAGTAGGAAAATCAAATTTTATCATGGAAATCAAATGGGAAACTGCAGCCCCTTCCCATATGGGGATTTGGAAGGCGGCACAGGTGGAAAAGGCAGTTGGCAAATAGAAAACAACAAGGCGGCTGTTTCCCCTAGGTAGGACAGTAAGCAAACAGCAAGGAGCGATGTGGAATGGCTGTCCGGGGTGCTCTCAGCGAGGATGGAGAGATGAAATGGCTGCGAAAACAAAGAGGAAGGGCTGTAACAGCAATAATAGTGAAGAATAGCAAAAGGCTGCTGTTTGGGTGGCTGCAACAAAAAGGAATGCGTGGCGGTGAAGCGGGAGGGATGTTGAGGAGTTGCGGGAGGGGAAATCATCACCTCGGGAGTGAAATACAATCGGAACACCACTCGGTTCTTGGATTCAGCCCTAGAAGGGGAAACTGATGCCTGGGGCTGTCCTGAACATATTCATGTAAAAACTGAAAATCTAAAACACAAGAATAACAGATATAAGCCCTAGATTACTCGGATTGGATCCCCATATGGGAAGGAGACGCCAAACCAATGTAGATTACCATCCCAGGTCTGGACAAGTTTGGTCTGAACGAAGGAGTTACGGAATGGTTCCCACGGCTCCTTTACGCCTGCGTCATTAGGACTATCAAGAAGCGGTCAGGAGAGGGTGTAAGTCTTGGTTAATATTTGTATCAGAGTTGTAAATTTAGAAAGTAGTCCTTAGACTACCAACATTACCTCAGCCTGCGTTAATGGCTTTTTGATTTTCCTCTTCGTGTACTTTATTTTCTTCTGTTGGCCTTAATGTTTGAGAAGAATTTAGGTGGATTGAAGTGGAGGTGAAGCTGGCCAATGGAAAGGAGAGAGGAGAGAGATTTCTAAAGAACGAGAAGATTAAATTGAGGCTACTACAATCTGCTCATGAAATGATTGATTGATTTGCATGATTAAAAGACAATACTTGTTATTATTTATAGAAAAATTCTTGAATAATAAGAAAACTAGCTATTAACTCTAGGTAGCTTGAAGGATATTATTTTTAAATGCATGATTTTAATCCCTAAAATGGGTAACCTTACCAGTAGGATTAAGGAGGGGATTTAATTTGTGTGTTAAATCCTTCTATATCTTTATACCTTAATTTAAACTTATCTTCTCCTTTTTGAATTTGAAATTTTGATATCTTCAATCACCTAGAGATGATCATTAATGAGAGTTGTGAAATGGAATTTAGCTTCCTTTTGTTGTAGTTTTTTTTTTTTTTGGGGGGACCTCTTATTGTTATGACACATTACTATATAATATTAGACCTGTACATAGATTCATGTACATATAATTCGCATCCGGAACTTGGGACCGGGCAATTGCAGTGTTAATATTAGACCTGTACATAATGAGAACTATTTTTTAAAACGTGACAATTATGCAGTGTTAGGGAGGTTCAAAATGTAACAAATCTTATTGCTAGTTGAGTTGCTCAACATGACCCGATTGGCCTGTAATTACTACAATACACGAGGCACTAAGTTTATTATTTTTTTTAATTACATGATTCTATTGTAGTTCTATCACATTTAAGCCTTAAAACTACTAACAAAAGTGATTAGCTAGTTTTAAGCTCTGTTTGACATTTTCATCTTTCGTGATATTGTGATGTAAAATGTTGTGCTCTAGTGCGCTATGGAGTAAAGTAGATGACTTCGTCAACTTACATTAAAATTGTTGTCTAAGGTGTGGCAAGGGTTGTGATTTGCTTGATAAAAAGTATATCGTGGCATTAAAATTAGTGCTAGTATTATGAATAAAATGAATTTATTACGAATTTCAAATAACTAGAATCTAATGTCCTAATCTTAAATAGGATGTGGTTAATTAATTAATAAAAAATCTCGCTTTCATGGAAGCACTTACTTTAGAAGCTATCTAATGTGTCGTTTCAGAAAAAAAACTTGTTTTTTCCAAAACTAGTTTTTTTCATTTTTTTCAACTGTCATACATCTGGAGTCTTCCACATCTTGTTTTTTCCACTTTTTTCAACTGTCATACATCTGGAGTCTTCCACATTGATGTTGGATCAAACACCTTTAAATTCTCTATTATTCAAAGAAGCAAAAAAACATGCGGCAAAAATTTTTGCCAAGCAAAGTCTTTGTTTGGGTGCCAATTTTCTTTCATCTTAGCTTGTCAACTGTATTTTAGAAAGTTTTGTTATCTGCAGCAGCTTTTTGCATTTGAGCTCATCGTGCCACATTCTAAGAATTCAGTTGCATTTCATAATTTTCAATTTATGATTTCATAATGCTATCATCTGCATCTAAAATAAAAATTGCATATTTACTTCAACAAATACTTTCCCCTCAGTAGTTTTCTAATTGCCTTTACGGATAGTGTATCTGGTCCCAAACATGAGGCCCTAGTTTCCACAACATTTAATCTCTTTATTGACCTCGAAATTTTGCCGCAGGATTAAACTCCCATCTGGAGCAAAAAAAATCGTCCCAAGTGGCTGCCGTGCAATGATTGGGCAAGTTGCTGGTGGCGGTCGAACTGAAAAGCCTCTTCTGAAAGCAGGTAACGCCTATCACAAATACAGAGTGAAGAGAAACTGCTGGCCCAAGGTTCGTGGTGTTGCTATGAACCCAGTCGAACATCCCCATGGAGGAGGAAACCACCAGCATATTGGGCATGCCTCCACCGTCCGCCGCGATGCTCCACCTGGACAGAAGGTTGGTCTTATTGCTGCGAGAAGAACTGGGAGACTCAGAGGGCAGGCTGCTGCTACAGCTGCAAAGGCAGATAAGGGTTCTTAGATGATCAACTTATTCTCTCTTAGTTTTATTTGTTTTTGTTTCGTGTCCGTAGGTTTCTGTATCGATGTATTGGTGAAGTTGAAGAAGTCTTTATTGGGTGAGGACAGTTTTTCTAATTTATTTATGTTTTATGTTTGTCATTTCTTCGGTGTTTTTCTTCTGTATTTGACAATTATTTTGGAATCTGAGAGCTGAACTTTGTTTGTTTGTGTTTATTTAAAATGGGTATACTGCATTCATTCAGTGTGATTCATGATTTTTGGTGAGGTTTAAATATTGATAAAAAATTTTGTAATTTACTCATTTTATTGATAATATACATTAGTTTATCATTGTATAAGACAATTTGATGCAAATAATTAGGTTATTGCTAGAACTTTTTATTGTATTTTTTAGCTACCTATTTGTTACTTTAAAATGAGCATTATATAATATTTGCTTATAATGCAGTGTATTGGAAATTTTCATATCTCGGGCCATCAAAAATTTGTTCGCAAATCTATTCCTGGTCATGGTCATGCAGGACCCATGTCATACATAATAGAAATTTATGTCCATGCCGCACAAATCTAATATATTTACAAATCTAGCACCCAAAATTTCATGCTTCTAGTTATAAGCACTTTGGCACTATAAATCTGTGCATGAAAAATGTACATGACTTCAAACAAATCAGCAGTACCAGTGATATTTTTTTATTGTGATGTTAAAAATTTAGCCAAAAACAGTACTTCCCCAACATTAAAATGTGGTTCAATCTCCCAAAAATTTTCATAAAACAATTTTCTCCATAATCTCTCATCATCATGCTTACAAAGCGCAGTAACAAAGCTAAAGAAAAGGCCGTGCACTTCAAATATATGACAACAAGAAGAAGACGAGAAAAAAAAAAAAAAACAGTATATGCACAAAAATGCCAAAAGACAACAAGAAGAAGACGAGAAAAAAAAAAACAGTATATGCACAAAAATGCCAAAAAAACAAAAGAAAAAACAACAATAATAACAACTGATAAAAGAGACGAAGAAAACAAATGATGTTCTTCAACCAAATCATCTATCAAACCTGAGTCTCTTCGTCCCTCTCTCCCGCTCAATCTTCTTCGAAATCGCCGACAAATCATGGCGGTAAGAGCAGCTAGACCCCTCCCTGCACCCTCTCGGAGTGTTGAAGAAAGCGCACGGCTTTTCAATTCTAGCCTTCCTGCCATCACTCCCTCGCATCTCCCTCCCCGCTCCCTCCCCATACGCCGACCCGGAGGGATTCTCCTGATGATATTTACGGCGGATTTCGAAGGCCGGCGGAGCCGGTTGGATCGACTCCTGTCGATCGCCGCCGTGCTTCTGAATCAAGCTCTTGTAGTAGTTTACATCCTTCGCCTGGATGGCTGCTGGCGGTTTGATGAGAAGAGGCATTGGATGGGCAGTGTTGGTTGGAGCAGGCTGAGGCTGAGGCTG